CATAGGCCTACCGATTCCAAGGTTCATTACTATCATTAATGGAAGGGTGCCATTAGCCTACTGATTCCAAGGTTCATTATAATCATAATTGGAAGGGTGCTACTAGCCTACCGCTTTGAGGATTCCACAACCAACAATAATCATTTAAATAAGGAAAGATAATCAAGGATCAAGGGTTACCATACCTTAGTTCAGATTCCCCAAGAAAATTGATGAAGAAACCACCTTCAATCCAAGCCCTAGCTCCAAGTTCTTGACCTTCTTAAAATGGAGGATTGTAGAGAGAAAAGTATTTGAGAGGAGGTGAGTTCTTTTTAATTCTAATTGGAGTGACTTAAAATGGAAGAATTTGGTCTAGAAGGGTTTTATAATTGCTAGGAAAGGCATATAATAAAAGGGGCTCAACTTAGGAAAAGAAATAAGGACCCACTTAAAAGTTTCCACTAAACCCGTCTAAGTTCGTCCTTGCTGACAGTGCTTCACTATTTTGGGCATAACTTTTTACTCCGAGATCGGAAAAGGGAAAACTCGGTGGCGTTGAAAAGAGGACTCAGATACCTTTAATTGGATAGGTAATGGTCCACCTAATTCATTTTGAGCTAAAAGATATCATCATTTGAAGTTGACCCTAAAAGTCGCAACTTTAAAAATCTGCTCCTTGCCCGTCTGTTCCAGTGGGATTACTCAAAGGCTGGTCAACTGGGCAGTCCACTAGGCTAGCTCGTCCTTGCTTGCACCCTAGGATGCTACCTAGCTCCATTTAAGTTCTAAAACAGCATAAACATCAACCTAAGCCCCCACTAACCCAAACGTCTAGGCTCAAGTTCATTCTATCATTTTCCGAGTCGTTACAAATACAGGGTCTTATGACACAAGCAACTCCAGCACTTCTTCTGAACCAAGTAGTCACTCTCATGGCAATAGTAGTTGGAATAGGTTTTGCTCTCTATCTGTAAATTTTGCAGGTCCCTCTCACATACCAAGAGGACAATATCAAACCACTGATGCCTTTGGTGTTATCCATCAGTTCACTGAACAACAATACAATCAGATTTTAACCATGCTTGATTCAGAAACACCTGCAGTTCACTCAGCTATGACAACATGTATGATTCCTTATGCCACTGTCACTGAAGATGAAGTTAAGTGGATAGTAGATTCAGGAGGCTCTAGTCATATGGTTAAGTCATCTACTCTTCTATCTCATACTAAGGCTGTGAACAAGACTGGTTTGGGAAAGGTTCACTTACCTATTGAAAGTATGTTTACTGTGACTCATCTAGGATTATGTTGCATTTTTCCTGATCAAGAAATCACAAATGTTATGCTCATACCTGAGTTCCAATATAACTTGTTGTATGTGCCTCAACTGACTAAGGAGCTGAAGTGTGCAGTGTTATTCTATCCTGATTTTTGCATTTTTCAGGATCTCTCAAGTGGCAAGGTGAAGGGGATTGGTAGACAAGATAATGGCTTGCATGTGTTCACAACAAGTCACAAGAAACCATGTACTGCTGCTGCAGTTTCTAGCACTGGTTCTTCTTCTACCAAATTTGAAGCACATTCGTTAGATATTTATAGTACTAGTATGACTCTTTGGCACATGAGGTTAGGTCATACCTCCTCTGCCACTTTACAAAGAATGTTTGGTCCTACTTCTCAATACTGGGAAAAATGTATCAGTAGTTGCACTATATGTCCATTAGCAAAACAAACTAGACTTTCTTTTCCATTAAGTACTACTACTTCTGATTGTTGTTTTCAATTAGTTCATAGAGATGTATGGGGTCCATATAGAATTCCAACTTATAATGGAAAAAGATATTTTCTCACTCTTGTGGATGATTATTCTAGATATACCTGGTTGTTTTTACTACCCTCTAAAGCTGAGGTGGTTGTTGCTATTCAGGAATTCTTTTTCATGGTTAAGACTGTTTATTCCTCAGGAGTGAAATTTTTTAGAACTGACAATGGCTGTGAATTTTTTAACACATCTATGGCTAGTTTATTGAAGTCCTTGGGTATTGTCCATCAAAGTTTATGTGTCTATACTCATCAACAGAATGGAGTAGCTGAACGAAAGCACAGACACATCCTAGAGGTTGCAAGATCTCTTAGGTTCCAAGCTGGTGTACCTCTGAAGTTTTGGGGTGAATGTGTGACCACAACTATATACATCATTAACAGATTGCCCTCTTTAACTCTCCAACGTCTATCTCCTTTTGAGAAGCTTTATAGGCACTCTCCTTCCCTGACTCACTTAAAGGTGTTTGGCTGTCTAGGCTATGTGACTCAAGTCAGAAAATTAGATAAATTCTCTCCAAGAGCCACTCCGGCTGTCTTTCTGGGTTATTCTCAGACAAAAAAAGGCTACATTACGTATGACATGGGGTCCAAAGTGTTTGTAGTTAGCAGAGATGTTATGTTTAAAGAAGATTTTTTCCCTTTCAAGGCCACTTCACAGTCTTCCTCTCCTTTATTCTCTATGAGTGATAACAACCTGGATGGTATATCAGCAACATAGTTTACTGTGTCTTTACCTCAAGCTGCTTCTGAGGCTGCTCCTTCTGTTGTATCCATTTCTTCTGAAGATCCTCCTACTATAACCTCTATTGCTAGAAAATCCTCCAGACCTACCAAACCTCATATTTGGATGAGTGACTATGTTTCGAAAGGGCAAGGGAATGCTAATTGTTGCTATCTAGTGTCTCAAGTAGTCAGTTATGATCATTTGTCTCCTATGTTTGGTGTTGCTTTAGCTTCCTATTCTTTCATAAGAGAACCCACTTCATATGCTGAGGCTGTTAAGGATCCTAATTGGGTGGCTGCTAATCAATCTGAGATTCAAGCATTGTAGGATAATCACATTTGGAGTTTGGTTGAACTACCAGTTGGAAAGAAGCCTATTGGCTTTAAATGGGTGTTGAAAGTGAATATACAACGTCTGGTGTTGTGGAAAGGTACAAGGCTCGACTTGTAGCTAAAGGCTACAACCAATAGGAGGGGCTGGACTATACTGAAACCTTCTCCCCAGTTGCTAAAATGGTTACTGTCAGGTCTGTTGTGTCTGTTGCTACAGCCAAACATTGGCCCATTTTTCAAATGGAAGTTCATAATGTTTTTCTCCATGGTGACTTATTGGAGGAAGTGTATTTGGAGGTTCCTGTTGGGTTTGCTAGCCAAGGGGGGAAACATGTTGTTTGCAAACTACATAAGTCCCTTTATGAACTTAAACAGGCACCCAGGCAATGGAATAAGAAACTCACAGATGCACTAGTCCAACTGGGTTCTCATAAAGCCATTTTGATTACTCTTTATTCACCAAGACTGTTCAGGGAGAATTGGTTATTGTTCTAGTGTATGTGGATGATTTGCTGCTGACATGAAGTAACTCAGACCTGATCCTGCAAACAATGAATGATTTAAAACTAAAGTTCAAAATGAAGGACCTTGGGGAGGTGAAGTTTTTTTTGGGGATTGAATTTGTTAGATCAAGGAAAGGCATAATTATGAGTCAAAGAAAATATGCACTGGAACTGATAAGTGAGCTAGGACTAAGTGGTACTAAACCTTTCAGCACACCACTGGAAACAAATCTGAAATTGACATCCACTAATTATGAGGCATTCATCATTAATGAGAAATAGGGAATTCCTAAGGCTGAAGACACATCATTTGTTGATCCTACTCAATATCAAAGGTTGGTGGGAAGACTGATATATCTAACTATGACTAGGATTGACATTGCCTATGTAGTGCAAGTGCTAAGTCAATTCATGCATAGTCCCAAACAATCTCACATGGAGGTTGCCTTAAGAGTAGTGAAATATATAAAGAATACACCAGGTCTTGGTCTACTAATGCCTTCTAATAGCTCAGGGAAACTTGAGGCATACTGTGACTCTGGCTGGGGTGGTTGCTTACAGACTAGAAGGTCAGTCACAGGATATTTAGTGAAGTTTGGCAATGCTGTGGTATCATGGAAATCAAAGAAACAGGAGACAATAGCCAGAAGTTCTGCTGAAGCAGAATTTAGGAGTATGGCTTCTGTGGTGGCTGAGGTAACCTGGCTAGTTGGCTTATACAAAGAGTTAGGAATTCAGGGTTGAAGTCCCAATAGATCTACATTGTGACAGCAAAGCTGCTATTCAGATTGCAGTTAATCCCATCTTCTATGAAAGAACAAAACACATAGACATCGATTGTCATTTTGTGAGAGACAAGATTGTACAGGGCATTATCAAAACCTATTATGTGTCAACTAAAGAGCAGCAAGCAGATCTTCTAACAAAGAGTCTTGGAAGACAACAACATGAATACTTAATGTCCAAACTGAACTTGAAAGATATATTTCAAGCATCAGTTTGAGGAAGGGTGTTAAATAGTTGATATTTTAGCATATAGAAAAGATACTGTTATAAGAAGTTAGTTACTGAACATTATAAATACAGCTTGTACTGAGTCATTCTAAAGCTATGTTGAATAATACACAGTCAATTATATTTCGTTCTGCTTTACTCTTTGTAGCTTGAAGGTTCTCACATGGTGAAGATCAAGGATCTTAACAAATTTAATATGAATTTCTCCATAATTGATGAGCTTTGTTTTTTCATTTATTTTTTTTAAAAATGATTTATCCTTCGATTTCTATTTTTTTGGCTCAGATTTTTTATAATTAAAAAGAAACTCCTTATTCTATTTGAAGTTTATGTGACGAAGTATGATTATGTTTGAAGTCAAATAGTTACTTTTTATACTATGCTTTTATAATTTTAATTTTTTAATTATGAAATTCAAATTCATAATGCACATCATAGTAAATTGCGCGCCTCTTTATCTATACAAAATAAATCACTGCGAAAAACTCATCACAAAGATAAATTAATATTAGAGATATATTGGTAAATTTTCTCTTATTATATAAGTGGGAGTTGAGGCTACCCATTAACTTGACATGTGGAATTACTAAATTTTTCTCTTATTATTTTCTATTCTTTCTACTTTATAATAAAAGGGAGTTTATGATGGAACATTCTACTATTTACAAATGACTTAAAAATTATCTTAATAAATCATTTACAAATTACTTAAAAAATTTAAAAGATATATAATAAAATAGGTTGACTCTCAGAATTCTATCAGGGTCACATATATTGGGACAGAAAAATAACATATATCATTTTAAAAATACCAAAAAAGTATTATAAATAATAATAATTAACAACTTAAAATATCTGAAAGACATTTTAAAAGGGGTTAATTTTTGTAATTTTATCCATAATCACATAAATTAGGACAAAGTGACCAGTAATGTAGGTAAATTTAAATAACTCACTATATTTTATCTGTACCGCATACATTAGGACAAAAAATAATAGATATTGGGCCCGTGCACTGCACGGGCTCTTCATCACTAGTATATATATAAGGCAGGGATATTTTGATCTTGAAATAAATATTTTTTTGCTTTTGTTTCTACATTTTATAAGAAGCAATTTTTTTTAGCTTTTTTTCTACCGCAGAAAAACTACTTCTACTTTTATTTAAAAACAGTTTTACTGATTAGCCAAATATTTTTTTTTTCAAAATAATTCAGAAATATTTCTATAGTTATAATCGTGTCATCAATGATAAAAGAGATATTTTAAGATAAATTATTACTAAATAAAGAAATGTATTTATAAAAATCATATAAATTTAGCCAGAAAAAATATAAGATATAACTTGTGAGAGAATCTATGTCTTATTTATACGGGATAAAAATGAAATAATTAAATTCTCATAACTCTAACCATTAATCAAACTCCCCTGATTAATGAATGGTCCCATCATCATATAGTCTGTTTTAGCTAGAGGGGTACAAGCCAAATCGTAAAGTCAAATCAAATCGACAAACCAAATCAAACCGACAAAAAATCGACCACTCTTGGTTTGGTTTGGTATTAAAAGAAAAAAAGTCAAACCAAAACCAAACCAAACCGACATAAAATATATGTTTATATATTTTATTTCATATTTGGTCTTGGAAAATTTTGCAAATATCATATATATAATTTTATTTTATTTATAGATAAAAATATTATTTATAATCTACTTTGTTAATGCATTTTTAGTTAGTTTATAGTTTTCAATGTTTATATATTTTATTTCACATTTGGGCTTCTAAAATTTGTAAATATTTTATTTCGTATTAAGATCCGAAGTTACAATCATATTGTTATAGTTTTTCAAATTCAAAGTTAACAATTTACTTTGTAAATATTTTGTTTTGTATTCAGTTTGCATGTAGACTTGAATCTTATTAATTCAACATAATGAGCATTGATATTTCAAAAAAAATATTTTGTACTCATGTGAATTTTACCGTCTTTTCTAAAATTTCTATTCATTTAACATTTTTTAACTTTAGCTTATCACACATGTAAGTTGAAAATATATTTGATCTCTTTTTCAAACACCGTATAGTTGTAAAAAATCAAAAAAACTGAAAAATAGAAAAAATTCGAAAGAACCGACTAAAGCCGAAACCAAAAAAACAGACTTTATGAAATTTGATTTGATTTTTAGATTTAATAAATCGATATAATTGATTTAAATTTTTTTAATGAAAAATCAAACTTCACCGGCGTATATACACCCCTAGTTTTAGCATATAGTATATAGATATAAACATAATATCACATGAAAAATCTAATCAATCATCGCAAACCCAAACAAGCTCTGCTCTTCCGCCCATCACGTGGCCATCTAGCCCTTCTCTAACCTTACTAGACCCATCTAAAAATGACCGACACGTGTCAATAAAAGATATAGGAAAAAAAAATCTAATATACCCTTAACTTTGTCATTTAAAGCTGATATTCGTTATAAAAGTGACTCATATATATCCTTATCGTTACAAAAGGAGCTCATATATACCCTTCATCTAACGCGAGTGAAAAAATTAGTTTTAAATTTATTTTTTTGACTTTAAATTTTTAAAATGTTCATGTGGATATATATGATCCTTCTAGTAAAGTCCAAAGTATATTTTAATCTTTTTGCACACAAATATTTTTTTTGACTTCTTTAATTATCAATATTTTATTTTTTTTATTTTTTTCTTTCATTTTTTAAGGTAAGGAAAAAATCAAAACTAGTTTTTTTTGCGACTCTATTGTAATTTAGTTTTTGTATTTGTAAAAATAAAATAAAAAATGGACATCTATGATAAATTTTACAAGAAAATTGTTGAAACATAAATTATTGAAAGTCACTTTCATAACGAAGGGTATATCAGCTTTAAATAACAAAATTGAGAGTATATCATACATTTTCCCTAAGATATATGATGAGGTGATTTAAGGTACGTTTCAATTATTATTTTTCAATAGATATATATTTTTTAATTTTAATTTTTTAAAAATATATTTAAAATTATAAAATTTAAATATTATATATATATATATATGTGTAAAAAAAATTTGTTAATTTAAAATCATAATTTAATACTTTTGATCCGTCAAAGATGTAGCAAGTGATCTCAAATTTTTGTAGGGCATAAAAGTCCCCACCAGAAAACGACAAAATAGATGCCATCACGCGCTTTAGCACAGAACACGTGTCACTATCAAATGGTGTATTTGTAGTTCTTAATAGAAATGAAGGGTAGATTAGTCAACAAATTTTAAAATAAGGATTAAAATTAGTAGGCACGTGGCTTGGCGTGGACCGCACGCATGGAAAATTAAAGTAGAGGCTTTTACAGTGTGTTTCGTCGTGGAGTTAGATATTTGTAATTGCTTTTTCCTTTGCCTTTTTGTTTGATACTTCCACAAGTACATTGCTTTATTTGTTCGACGTTCCATATTCATATTAAAATTTAATTAATTACATTTGATAAGGTAGTATTCTATAGAACATTCTCTATTAAATTTAAATTTAAAATTTTTGATTCAAAAAAAAAAAAAAAACTTGATTCGCTATATCACATCCTCTCGTGTTGTTGCTTTATTAGCTTACTTCACCTTTCCTCCATTTTCGTTTTATTTTATATGATTACATTGGTATAAATATTGACATTTATGGTCAAGCAAAGAAATACTTTTTTTTTCATCCTGATTTATTTTAAAGTATTTGGCTAGAGATAAAGTTTAATAATAAAATAGATTTTAAGAAAAATGGTCATAAATTATATATAAGTATTTATGTGGTCATAAATCCTAAAGTATAATAGAATATCATTTAAAACTAAAATGATTGCTAAGAACAATAGGGTATTTGGTGCGGTTTAACATGACCTTGTGGTAATTAATACTCTATTATTAAATGACATCTTGACAACTAATACTAATTTAATAAGATTATAATTTATAGTATATGTTTCGCACTAGTTGAGGACTTTTGAGGGAATAAGATGGTGTGTGGGTTTATATTATATTTTGATAATTGTCGTCTCATGAGCTATTAGGAGTTGCGTTAGTCCGATAATTTATTTTCTATTCAATCACATTAAATTCATATACGTGCTCTCGTTTGTTTTAATTTGTTTCAGAATACGATGGTCAAATTAATTAATGTTTGATGTGAATTTAGATATAAAAAAATATATTTTATTTAAAATAAAACTTATATGCTAGAAATTATATGGAAAATGCTAAATATCACAATAATTAATAATAATTTAAAATATATTTAAATTTACTATAAATAATATCACAAGCAATTGAGCCAAAAATAAATAAATAAATAAACTCTAGAAATAAAAAGCAACAGGAAAGGCGGGAGTAATGGGAACATAAATAAAGTAAAATAATAAAAGTATAATTTTACGTGATCTTTATGCTGACATCAACGTGATTTAATAATATACGTCGGTGAAGAAAATTAATTTTTCCACTTCTTTTTCTCCCTTTAGTATATAAAATTCAATAATTCCAAATGATATATTTAACAAAAAAAAAATCAATAGGTGGGTTCATAAATATATTTAGGTGCCGCAAGAAATATTTATCATGTACGTAGTATTTAAAGCTTAACGGAGTAAAAAAGGGAGAAGCTATCAAAAATCAAGGGGTTCATTCGAATCACTTCGTTTGATTATTTTTTTTAAGTATATATATATTTAAATTTTCTTTGACCTTTTCATACATTTACTTTTTATATTTTAAACCTCATTAGTGAAAATTATTCATGCGTTAATTAATTTACTTTATACAAAATATTTTTCATATGTATTTGTGTACGAAAAATACACAACCAAGTATTGTATTCATAATGCTATATTTTATGTGGAAAGAGTAATTAGTAAAGACAACTAAATATTGTGTAACTTATGCTAGAATTTATATAGGTATTATTTTTTCTTATTAATGTAACTACAAACAACGTAAAAAATTAAGAAATCCATGGGAGGAGGTATTAAAAACAAATAAGACATGATTTTTTTATTTGATAGTGTTTTCAATTTACGTATAATACCGTATTTAGTAGTACTTATTATTACTGTATAAAAATGGTAAGCAATGACATAATTAATAATATGAGATACTATTTTTATATCAATACACTTTATTCATTATCATTTATAGAGATAAAGGTTGCAGCTTACACGGAGACAGAACCTCGAAATTAGAGTTTCAAACCCCCATTTCACAAACACACCTTCAACCCATGACACTCAGAAACTACTCGTTCACGCTAAGATCAGTTTCGGGAGTTCTACTCGCCCGAATTTAATTTCGTAAAGTCGTACGGGTTCATTAACGTCTTAGATATTCACTCATGTGATCAAATTAATTATTAGATCTCTCATTTGTTACCAGATTCCCTAGACCTCATTGACTCCGATTTCCTCAAAATCTAGACTAGGCTAGGAATTTTCAAGTCACTACCAAAAAGTTTTCTGAAATTTTAAAAGTGATATTCCACATTGATGTCTTCACTATCTAATACATTTCATTCCCACCACCCCACATCTCTACCTCCGCTTGCACTCTATAATATTTGTCTAAATTATATAAAAATATTTTTTGGTTGATATTTTACTTATATAACAAACATAAGAAAATAAGCAAAAGAAAAACACCATTCTTTTCCTAGAAAATATTTTCCTCCGTAACGAACACACCCTAAATTCTAATGTAATTTTTTTCTGGGGTTTCCAACCACCAACAAAGGAAATCGGTAAATTTGGTGGATTTCAAAAGGCATACACTTAAGTTGATTTCAAACTTGATTTTGATAAATAGATAAATAAATATAAGGGATAAGGGTCTGAAAAATACTTCAACTTTGGTCGGATTTGCTGTTGCGATACTAAACTTTCATAAGGACTTATTACCTCCCTAAACTATTTATTACCGTATTTTTTACCCCCTAAACTATTTAATAGTGTATTTTAAAGGTATATATGTGCCCACATGGACACATTACTATTTATAATTTTGCATTATTTTTTATGTCCACGTGGGCAAATATATATGTTTAAAATACGGTATTAAATAGTCTAGGGAGGTAATAGGTCCTCATGAAAGTTTAGTATCACAACAGCAAATACGACCAAAGTTGAGATATTTTTCAGACCCTTATCCCTTATTTATATTTTAATACACTTATCACTATTAAAAATAGAGGTTTTTCCATTGTATATCAATGCAATTTTTTTTAATTATAAAATATAATTATTTTTATTTTATTTTCATTGAACCAACTCACTGAAAAACACATGATGAAAAACATATTTTCATTAAAGTACTCACTTCAACCACTTGCATCTCTTCCACTCAGCACAACCTTAAATTCGCTTCGCCCCACATAGCCTTAAATCCACCTCTTCTCGTATCCGCCCCGTCCTATTGTTATCCCAGGTCGGACCACTTAAAAATATAAAATAGGCTCAAGTCTAAAAGAAAGGAAGGGGGTTAAGTGATGATTAGGGTAGTCGGCGTGGATGTGTATTAACCCTTTGGAAAGTTGTGGCGTGGGAACAAAATGGAGTGCTTTATGTACTGTACCAGACTTTTAGCTCTCTAATAAAGTCAAGTTTCCCATTAACTTTTCACTAATTTGAACAAAAAAATATAAGCCAACTTTGTAGTATGAAAATACAAATAGTGTTATGCCACAATAATAAATAGACAAAGATAAATATCTTTAAATTTAGCGTGAATTTACTAGTTCCATTTTGATATTGCAATCTGAGTGAAATATCTCTTAAATTCTCGCCAAATTTTGAGATATTTTCAATATTTTTTCCTGTTTTTTATGAAGAGTCTTATGTTCCTACAAGAATTTGAAACCACTTACTATGTCATGTGGTAAATCATTGTGAATCTAAATTTAGCTAGTCAAGTAGAAGAGTATTTTTAAGACTATCAATAATTCGGAAACGAAACTAATAATTTGTGTCTAGCTAATTCAAAAGTGTTTTCAATACTTCTCTCTAAATATGTATCCACCACCAAAAAGATATGATACAATAAATGAACCTGTTTTTTTTTTAAAAATTCGAATTTGAGTCTTAGATATGATTTTTTTTTAATACAAAGTACTATCCCTCCAAATGAGACTCCACACATTTAGATTATTTGATCTCCAATACAAATATTCTACATTAAATAGAAAATAAAAAATATATCCATAGTAGTACAAAGTAGAGATGATTTATTGTTTATTTATGATAGAAAAATAAGTAATAATAATGGGTGCTATTATTATTTAGCCGTCTACTTTGTCGTTTGTGTGGCGTCCGTTGATGAGCAACGCCGTCTGTTTGCGTTTGACTGCACGCTTCTTTTTATTTTTTCTTTCACACCTTTCTTTGTCATATTATCATAAACAATTAAAACAACATTTACTATATTCTTTCTTTCTATTTTTTCATTTTATAAGATAGTGACATTATTTTGGAAAAAAAATATCAAATACTTTCTTATATTATTAGTGTACTTTTAATATAACAATTTATACTTGAATACTTTTATGTACTAGTAATTAATTAATTAATCATGTAAACCATTTTAAATTTTATTAAAAACTTTCTTTTTTAAATAATTTTTTTGAGATAATTAACTTTCTTATATTTTGATATTTACACAATGTTAAAATTCATTTTCCATTCTGTGAAAAATGTCAATCAAAGTTTTTCTTTTGCTTCTCTTCAATAAAAAATACTCCATAATTTTAAGTAATTCTTCAATATTTATTAAAAAAAATAACTTTAATTATATGTATCATGATAATTCTACTGTCCAATTGAGAAATGAAACTATAATTAGTGAAATTTTCAAACAACCAATTTGAAGGTGCAACTCTTGTCGTACACCAAATTCTTTCATTTTTGTTTTCTATTTTTCGGGAAACAATAGTTATATATTTATACAAAATATCAAATAATGATGGTAGTTTAAGTACCATCAAAGATCGTGATGAAATGATATCTACTTCTTCATTTATTCAAAACTAGAAAAACTCAAAACTCAAATTCGAATCCTTTATATAGAATTAAAAACACTATACTTTCTAATATGTAATTTTCTGACACAAATCTAAATTAGTTGTGTCTCTATATTTGTCTTATGCTGCGTTTGAACCGAGTTTATAAACTTTTGGACCTTTGGTGATTGTTCTTTAATATTTTTTTTTTGAGTTTTCATTCGATGCTTGATATTTGTATTGAAACTTAATTAAATTTAAATTCATACCTAAAAATCTACGTTGGATAAAAAACTTCTTAAAAAAGACGAGTTTATACTCAACAATCTCGTACTCAAGACTTTTAATTAAAGATATATAACCCTGGTTGGTCTTCTCTAATTTCTTTGTTAGTTTTCATTTTTGGGGGTAAAAACAGCATTAACAGTTAACAAACAGCTCTACCATGAATTGTTAATGACTCTGTTTCTGTCTCTCTCTCTCTCATCCCTCTTTTTCTTCTATTTCTTCCCTATTCTTGTCGTCTTATTACCCCCTTTCTCTGTCTTCACCTATTTCACTCTCTGCTTCTCTGTGTGTGTGAATTCTCCACGCTTTAAACTTCTAATTTTAGGGATAAATAGTCTCTTTCTCTTTCCCCTTCTCTTTAATCCCCCCCACATTTCTGCTCTGTTCTTTTCTTTGGGACACTGTTGTTGTTCTTTCTCAAGTGTTTCTCTTCTTGTTTTAGTTAAGGAAACAAAAAATTCCATCTTTGGACCACTCTTCTTCTCAGTATGAACCTTGTATTCTTCAAGATCACTACACCCTTTTAACTTTCTTCTCCAAAGTTTCAATCTTTAATCACTTTTAGTCATGGTGGACACTAAAGAGATCAACACTAATGAATCTAAGGTACCCCCTTTGTGTTAATTTTCTCTAATTTTGGGGTTTGACCGTTTTGTGTTTTTTTTGAGTAAAAAGAATGGATCTTTATCATTGATTTAGGTAAATAGTCTGTCATTCTTGTGTTTCTTTGGCTTGTCTCTACATATTTAAACCTCCTTTTTATTTACAAAATCACCTTTTGCTTTTTTTGGGGGTTTTGATTCTTTTTCTTTTACCATTTGGTTTACTTTCTCTTTCTGGCTATGCATACAAATTTTACTCATGTTTTTCTTTATGTGTTGTGCCTATTTGTGGATTGATCAATTTTTATGAATATTTGTGGTTCTTGTAATGACTTAGACCTTGTTATGTTATATGCAGAGGGTGGTTCCACTTAATACATGGATACTTATATCCAATTTCAAGTTAGCTTACAACATGCTACGAAGATCTGATGGAACATTTAACCGTGATTTAGCTGAGTTTTTAGAAAGAAAAGTTCCTGCTAACTCGATTCCAGTTGATGGTGTCTATTCATTTGACGTGGTTGATCGCTCTACCAGCTTACTTAACCGTGTTTATAAACCTGCCCCGAAAAATGAGTCTGATTGGGGTAAAATTGATCTTGATAAACCCCTTAGTACAACTGAGATTGTACCTGTTATTATCTTCTTCCATGGTGGAAGCTTTACTCATTCATCAGCTAATAGTGCTATTTACGACACATTTTGTCGTCGTCTTGTTAGTATTTGCAAGGCTGTTGTTGTATCTGTGAATTATCGACGATCACCTGAGAATCGATATCCTTGTGCTTATGATGATGGATGGGCTGCTCTTAAATGGGTAAAATCTAGACAATGGCTTCAAAGTGGGAAGGATTTAAAAGTTCATGTATATATGGCTGGTGATAGTTCAGGTGGTAATATAGCTCATCATGTTGCTGTTCAGGCAGCTGAATCAGGGGTAGAGGTTTTTGGAAATATTCTTTTGCATCCGATGTTTGGTGGACAAAAACGAACAGAATCAGAGAGTAGATTGGACGGGAAATACTTTGTGACAGTTCAAGATAGGGATTGGTATTGGAGAGCTTATTTACCAGAAGGGGAAGATAGAGATCATCCAGCTTGTAATATCTTCGGCCCGAGAGGTAGAACTCTCGAAGGACTTAACTTTCCAAAGAGTTTAGTCGTTGTAGCGGGGTTAGACCTTGTTCAAGATTGGCAATTGACATATGTTGAAGGGTTACAGAAATCGGGGCACGAGGTGAATCTGTTATATCTAAAGCAAGCAACAATAGGTTTCTATTTCTTGCCTAATAACGATCATTTTCGTTGCCTAATGGAGGAGATAACAAGCTTTATACATCCTAACCATTCCTAGAAGACTTAACTACAACTACAGGCAGCCAGCTTAAATATATAACAGAAGCTTGACATCTCACTCGATCGGGTTATTTTTTTCCTCCCTCCTCTGTAGTGAATATAATGGTGTGTATTAGCATTGCTTCTCAGTATTACTTGTCATCAACATACTTACATTGTTGATAAGAGTGTTCACCCTGATGGTTCTTGTCATTGATCAGCATTTGAAGACGATTAAGGCGTTAGCTGACGGAGTGTTGCCTGAGAAATGTTACTTGTTGAGTTAATAGAAGAGTAATTTTCTGGTGATGTCTCAGTTGTTACTACTACTAAAAAGAACTAATTTCAGAACATGGATTGGAAAATTCATGATGTTGTAATCTTACTTTGTATGTTATTATAGTTGTGATTTAGAAACTATATATGTATAAGATTTTGTTTGTTAATTTTGTCCCAAGCATTGAACCCCTCTTTCCCCCCTAAAAATCAACTCAAGGTATTTGTGCTTTTATCACAAGTGTTGATTTTCTTTGGGATTTGAAGAAGTGTACAAGTGCTACAACAACAAACTCTAATCCCATGTTCGTGGGATCTGGAAAGGATGATGTATATACAGTCGTACTTCTACTTTGTGAATGTTGATAAGTCGTTTTCGATAAATTCTCAGCTTAAAGTAAAACATATAAAATAAAGGAGAAAGAATAGTAGCAAAATGACAAACAAGATGTGGAAAGGAGAGTAAATAATATGTTATAATTAGTTAAAGTTCATATTTTTAAGTGTCATTTTACATAAACTAATGTAGCACTGGCTTTTGGTATTTATCTTTGTATTGGAATATATATTATTTTATGTAAAAATACAACTTGAATAAAAATATATGGATACTAAGAATACCTAGTCAATACTAAGTATTTAAAAACAAAAGAAGTGTGGTTAGGGGAAGCTTCCTATGTATGTTGTTACTTTAATGTAAATGAGTTGGTTATCTTGCAACTTAAGGGAATTCACATTCAAGATTTGAGACTTTCACCTTGTTTGGGTGGTTGTTACCCTTTGTAGTGTATCTTACTGTTAATTCAAATACAATATTTGTTTTGATTGTTATCGTATCGGTTAAATCCATTGTTAGGTAACGATGAAAAAATCCATTTTATGTAACGAGCGATTTGGTGTGATCGCGTCGTTACCCTTCTAATATTATTTATCATTTATCCTACCTTTTCATAGTAGTTCTACCTCGTATCCTACTTTTTCAATTAGTTTATCATTCAAATTATGAATATGTAATGACAGAGAACAATACAATCTATCAAAACATTGTATTCATCAAAATAATATAGTGCGATAGAATACAATGCGATAATACATAACAATTATTCAAAAAAAATGTTATGAACTCAAATATCAAATTTAGATCAAAATTAGTGAATTCTGTCGAACAATAACCTAAAACTCTTGTAAATGGGTTGGTTTGCTAAAAGTCATATGCTAAAATTGGAGGTGATCAAGTAGGTATAGTTGCAATTTTGTAGTACATAGAAAGTGGGGTTGTGTGGACCATAAAGGAATCCCACCCCTTAAACCAAAAGGCCAAAGACAAAGCCAAAACAAAACCCTGTCCAACCAAAGTGAAATGAAGGGTACATTTTACATAGTTCCATGATTGGACATTGATTCAATGCTTTCTATCCCTCTTTTCTTGAAGTGGATTTTTATTAATTTTTTTGTCAGCTATTTCTTCTTCTTCTTCTTCTAATATGGGTCTTTTGGGAATTTTTTTGGATATTTTTGGGTATACAATAAATTTGTTTTAAAATTTATTATTTTGTCTTTTCTTTTTTCTTGTATATTATATTAGAGAGCTTATCTTATCAACCATTGGTTGGGAATTTTGGATTTAGCACTTGTTTGTACCAGTACCAATAGGGGGACCATGATATATTAAAATAAAATAAAACTGAGTTCTGAATTTTCTGTATTAATCTAAAAATTGAATGTGTTAAATTTGACTTCATACAACTATATACATTTTTTTTTCCTTGGGTTGAGGAGGCCTGGCTCTGTATTCAAGAAAGACTTGGTGAACACCCCTTTTTTTTTTTACATTCGGTGTCTTGAATCTGTATTAGAATTCCAATTAAATTCAGATGACACACTACAGGATCCATTCGGAAGTGACGCTCTCAATTCGAGACCTCTGATTAAGGATGAAACAATCTCATTACTGCACCACAACCAATGTTAGGGACTTGGTGAACACCTTTAGAATATATAATACTCTCTCTTTATTGTTATTTATCGACTCTGGACTTTGCATGTCAATTATATTTATATTAATTGATGTATAATTTTTAGGTTTTGAGAAATAATTTAAGAAATAAGTAGTTAATGTTAAGGGTAAAACATGAAATATATATATTTTTCTCTTAATGGTTTATAAATGAGAAGTAAAAATAAAATTTTTATTTTTAATATAGTAGACAAGTACAAGTGGACGTAGAGAGCCATCCTGATTTATGAAAAAAAAAGATTTTTTTTAAAAATTTGTGGCTAAGACATTTTTTTAATTATTTGTTTGATTGTGATTCATTTCATGAAGATAAAAATAATTTTTGTAAAGTTAAGTTAAAAGAATTTTTTCAAAGTTAGGCTATTTTAATTATAAGAATGTTACAATTTTTTTTGGAATGGACCAAAAACGAAAATGTGTCAATAAATTGAGATAAAAGAATAATACTAGTTATTTTATCAGATAAAATTCATAAAGAGCCATTTTAGATTTCTATAATTGAAAAAAATTATTGTTCTGAAATTTCTAAATTATACAATTCAAACTTTTCAAAATATTATCATAAAATATGTAAACTCTTTCAAATTATACTAGAATGAGATCAATATAAACTCTTGAAATACTAAAAATCTCAACAAAATATCTAAAACAGCATTGATGTAACCCTTGACAATAGTTCACATAATTTGGAAAATTATTACTTTCAAGAAGAAAATAAGCTTTTAAAACGTGAAATCAAAAAAGACTTGTAGGAGTAATAATAGCAAAAGACAAATTGTCCTCTATTTGTTACATTTATCTTTCCACTTCTCTATGCTAATGGTTGCTTACAAGTTACACCTAATGGCCAATGGTGAATTTGGAGCTAACTTAAATTATCAATTTCGTCTTCAAATTATTGACAATTTTAAAAATATTTTTTTATTTAACTTATTAAACTTAGATATAAACATCGATCTACCACATGACATAGCTCGTAGTTTCAAACTCTTGTTGAAGCGTGGAGTTCTTTTCTTGATAAAAAGTCGAGAGAAATTTTGAAAACAATCCTAAACTTGAGAGAATTTAGAAGTGTATTCCACTTATATTGCAAGATCGAGTGTGTATTTAAGTTCAATTAATTAAATAAAGAGGTGTTTTAATGAAAATAATAATTCACGCTGATTTTTTTTTAAAAATAATATAATTTTATTTATTGGTATTTATACTACAATAAGATTAAATGATACAATTGAAAATTGAGTTATTTATTTAGCGAATTATAGGTCATTTTATACCGTAATATATACATATTTTAAAAATTCAGGAAAATCTATATAAGTCGGCACACAGATCCAACTTCAAAACCGCGCAACACCAATTTTGATTTGACAACAAAAAAATTGATGATAAATGACATAAATATTGTCGTCTAAAAATAATTGAAATTTCAAATTCATAGTATTATTTTTTGGCTTATAACTAAAAGGACCACTCGTTGGGGGCACTTATTAAATGTACTAAAAAATGTTTTATTGTGAATTTTGTCGTTTTATAAAGGGGTAAACAGCTGTATGCTAAAAAGACTTGTTGAATAAAACGTGGTTTAGGGAGACAACATGTAGTCGTTGTCATCAAATTATTATCATTATAAATAATTAATATCAATTTGTCATTAAAAAAAACAATATTTTTGTTGTCAACATTTTTCTCTCTCTATTTATTTATTTATTTGTATATTTATTTATTTATTTTTAATTGTTTTCGAATTTATCTATTCTGGTCGGTCATATGCGACGACGTGTTCTTTCACACCCCTTTGGCTCTTCTTTAATGAATTCTACCCATTTTAAAATAAAGGGAAAAAAGTGTTTGATATACTCCTCAACTTTATTATTTGGAGTTGATATGACATTCGTTATGATAGTGACATATATATATCCTTACCGTTATATAAACGGCTCACGTATACTCTCATCGTTATAAAATGAGCTCACATATATCTTTTATTTAACGGAAATGAAAAAAATAGTTTTTAATTTATTTTTTTGACTTTTAATTTTTTTTTTAAATTATGTTGGAGTATATATGATCCTTCAAGAAAAGTTCAAGGTATATTTTAATATTTTTCATACATAAGTTATTTTTTGACTTCTTTGATTATCATTATTTGAGTTTTTTATTCTTATTTTTTTTTTCTTTCATTCTTTAGTGTAAAAAAAAACTTTTTTTTGGTGGCTATATTATAATTTAAAACTACTTTTTTGGCTATATTGTAATTTAGTTTTTGTATTTAAAAAAAAAAAATAGGTCAATAATAAATTTTACAAGAAAATTAGTGAAACATAAATAAATTTGACCATCAAAATAATAAATTAAAATTAGTCATTGAAACAAAAAAAAATACATGTGAGGAGTATTAAATATACCCATATGGATTTTATTTTATTTTTTTTAAAAATAATTAAAAAATTTAACTATTTTTTTTCCACTTCCGTTAGAGGGAAATGGTATATGTAAGTCATTTGTATAACAGTAGGAGTATATATGTGTTAATTTCATAACGAGGGTATATCATCTCTAAATGACAAAGTTGAGGGGTATATCAGGTACTTTTGCCTAAAATAAATACTCCCTCGTTTACTTTTAGTTGTCACTTATTCCTAAAATAGATTTTTATTTTTACTTGTCACTTTGACATATCAAGAAAAAATAATTACTTTTCTATGTTTTACCTGTAACATTAAATACTATTCTATTTATCATTTACCTAGACTCAATACTAAACATTAAATAGTAGAAATAATGTAGTAAAATTTCTATTTCAATAATTATTTTCTTAATGAGTGTGTCAAGTCAAAAAGTGACTAGTAAAATTGAACGGCGGGAGTAATTTTTAAAGAAAAAAGTAGGCACTTTAAATGAGGGGTGAACATTCAGTTTTTTCAGTTTGATTTTATCAAGTTTTAGTTCGATTTATTAATTTACGATTTTGAAAGAATCAAATTAGTTCGATTTGATTCGGCCTTTTCAACTTTGATTTAGGTTAGATCAGTGTTTAATAAATAATTTTTCGATGCGAATAAAAAATAAAATGAGGACAAATCTAAGTATTAAACACTTTAAAATTTTAAAATAATGCCAAGTGATGATGCGTATTACCATGGACCATATTTGTCTTTGTCAAGAATATTGTGCTTCCAACTACTGGTAGAGGAAAACTAGGACAAAGATGAGTT